TCAGCCTGTAATCCCAGCACTTTGAGAGGCCGAGGTGAGTGGATTGCCTGAACCTGCGGGTTCGAGACCCGCCTGGTCAACTTGGCGAGACCTTATCTCTACAATAAATAAAAAATTAGCCGGGTGTGGTCGCACGTGCCTATAATTCCAGCTTCTTGGAAGGCTGAGGTGGAAGGATTGCAGGAGCCCAGCAGGTCGAGGCTGCGGTGGCCGGGAGCGGCCACTGCATTCCAGTCTGGGTGACAGAGTGAGACTCCAACTCAAGAAACAAAACAAAACAAAAAACATAAAATTTACCATCATATCCTCCTTATTTATTTATTCATTTATTTTTTTAGATTTTTTAGTTGAAGTTTCGCTCTTGCCCAGGCTGGGGTGCAGTGGCATGATCATAGCTACTGCAGCCTCAACCTGCTGGTATCAGGCCATCCTTCCAACTCAGCCTCCCAAGTAGATACGACTACAGGCACCTACCACCACTCCAGGCTAATTTTTAATTTAATTGTAGAGACAAGGTTGCCCAGGCTGGTCTCGGACTACGGGGTTCAGGCAATCTTCTTGCTTCCACCTCTCAAAGTCTCACTCTGTCACCCAGACTGGAGTACAGTGGCCACTCCCGGCCACCGCAGCCTCAACCTGCTGGGCTCCAGTGATCCTCCTGCCTCAGCCTTCCAAAAACATTTTTTTTTTTTGAGTCTGAGTCTCACTCTGTCGCCCAGGCCGGAGTGCAGTGGTACGTTCATGGCCACCGCAGCCTCAACCTGCTGGACTCAGGCGATCCTTCCACCTCAGCCTTCCAAGAAGCTGGAACTACTGGCTTGCACCACCACACCCAGCTAATTTTTTATTTATGTAGAGATGAGGTCTTGCCAAGTTGCCCAGGCTGGTCTCGAACCCATGGGCTCAGGCAATCCTATCACCTCTGCCTCCCAAAGTGCTTGGATTATAAGTATGAGCCACCGTGCCCAACCTTAACCATTTTTATTGCCTGGCCATAACCCCCTTTTTAAAAAGTTCTCATTGTAGTAAAAAATAACATAGAATTGAGTGTCTTAATCTTTTTTTTTTTTTTTTGAGTTGGAGTCTCACTTCTTCGCCCATGCTGGAGTGCAGTAGCATGCTCACAGCCACCTCCACGTTGACCTGCTCGGTTCAGGTGATCCTTCCACCTCAGCCTTCCAAGTACCTGGAATTACAGATGCGTGCTACCATACCTGGCTAATTTTATGATTTGGTGTAGAGATGAGGTCTCACCATGTTGCCCAGGCTGTTCTTGAACCCGTGAGTTCAGGCAGTCCGCTTACCTCTGCCTCCCAAAGTGCTGGGATTACAGGCTTGAGCCACCACACCCAGCCTATCATAACCTTTTTTTTTTTGAGTTGGAGTCTCACTCTGTCACCCAGGCTGGAGAGTAGTGGCACGCTCCTGGCCACTACAGCCTCGACCGGCTGGACTCAGACGATCCTTCCACCTTAGCCTTCCAAGTAGCTGGAACTACAGGCATGTGCCACTATGCCGGGATAATTTTTTTGTTTATTGTAGAGATGAGGTCTCACCAGGTTGCATGGTCTGGTGTCAAACCTACGGGCTCGGGCAGTCCTCTCACCTCGGCCTCCCAAAGTGCTGGGATTATAGGCATGAGCCACCGTGCCCAACCTTAACCATTTTTAAGTACACAGTTCTATAGTGTTAAGCATATTCACATTGTTGTTCCACCAATCTCCAGAACTCTTTTCCTCTTGTAAAACTGAAATCTGTGCCTGTTAACAACAGCATCCCTTCCCCTCTTCCCCCAGCCCCTGGTAGCGATCACTCTACTTTCTTTCTCTGTGAATTTGACTATTATAGGTAGCTCATATATGTGAAATCATACAGTATTTGTCCTTTTGTGACTGTTTTACTTTACTTAGCATAATGTCCTCAAGGTTCATCCATGTTGTAACCTGTGTCAGAATTTCCTTCCTTTTTAAGGCTGAATAACATTCCATTGTATGTTTGTAATACACTTTGTTCATTCATCTGTCAGTGGATACCTGGGTTGCCACTACCTTTTTGCTATTGTGAACAGTGCTGCTATGAACATGGGTATACAAACAGCTCAATGAGAACTCACTTTCAAATCTCTGGGCATATATCCAGAAGCAGAATTGCTGGATCATATAGTAATTCTATTTGTTTTTATTTATCACAAAGCTACTGTTTTATACTTTGGAGTAAACCCTACAAAAATAAAAACATGGGAAGGAGTAACCCCCTCACCTCCAGGAGTGGCCCAGAGGAGAGAGACTGCCAGAAGGGAAGGAAGAACAGCCTTATTTTTATTTTTATTTCTAAATAGGAGTCTCACTCTGTAGCCCAGGCTGGAGTGCAATGGCATGCTCACGGCCACCACAGCCCCCATATGCTGGCCTCAGGTGATCATTCTGCCTCAGCCTTCCAAGCAGCTGGAATCACAGGTGCACACCACCATGCCTGGCTAGTTTTTGTGATTTATTGTAGAAACAGTCTCACCAAGTTGCCCAGGTCTTGAACCCCAGACTCAGGCAGTCCTCTCGCATCCACTTCCCAAAATCCTGGGTTATAGGCATGAGCTACCATGCCCGGCTCTGTTTTTAATTTTTTGAGGAACCCCTATACTGTTTGCCACATTGGCTACATCATTTTATTTTCTCAACAACAGTGCACAAGGGTCCCAAAGTTTCCGCATTCTTGTCAGCACTTGTTTTCTGTTTTGTTTTATTTTGTTTTTTTGTCATAACTATCATAATGGGTGTGAGGTGGTATCTCATTGTGGATTTGATTTGTAGTTCCCTAATGATTAGTGATATTGAGCATCTTTTCATGTCCTTCTGTCTGTTGATGTATCTTCTCTGAAGAAATAGCTAAGATTCTTTTTTAATAGAATAACTTCAGATTTTACATTTCATTGTCAAAATTATGCTTAGACAAGGCCTCACTCTGTTGCCCAGGCTGGAGTGCAGTGATCAAAGCTCACTGTAACCTCAAACTTCTGGGCTCAAGCAATCCTCCCACCTCTGCCTTCTTAGTAGTTAGGACTACAGGTGTGTGCCACCATGCCTGGCTAATTTTTAAATTTTTTTGTAAAGATGAACTCTCACTATATTACCCAAGCTGGTCTCAAAACTCCTGGCCTCAAGCAATTCTCCCACTTGAGCCTCCTAAAATGCTGGGATTACAGACATGAGCCACCACACCAGCCTAGGTTCATTTTTTTTTTCTTTGAATAAGGGTCTCAGTCTTGCCAACCTTGAGTGCAGTGGCATGCTCACAGCTACCACAGCCTCGACTCGCTGGGCTCAGGAGATCCTCCCACCTCAGCCTCCTGAGTAACTGGAACTCCAGGCATGCATCACCATACCCAGATAATTTTTAGATTTTTTTTTTGTAGAGATAAGTTCTCACTATGTTGTGTAGGCCTATCTCAAACTGGATTCAAGCTATCTTCCCACCTCAGACTCTCAACATGCTGAGATTACAGGTGTGAGCCACTGTACCTGGTCCTAGCTTCACCTTTTTTTTTTTTTTATTTTTTAGTTAGGGTCTCACTCTGTCATGCAGTCTGGAGTGCAATGGAACAATCATGGCTTACCTCAGCCTCAACCTCCTGGGCTCTGGAGATCCTCCAACTTCAGCCTCCCGAGAACCTAGGACTACAGGCACCCATCACCATGCCCAGCTAGCTTCATTTTTTTAAAAATATTTTTATTTTGATAAAAAAGACATACCAGCCGGGCTCGGTGGTTCAGCCTGTAATCCCGTGCCTTTGGGAGGCTGAGGTGAGTGGATTGCCTGAGCCCGCGGATTCGAGACCCGCCTGGGCGGCGAGACCTCATCTCTACAATAAATAAAAAATCAGCTGGGCATGGTAGCGCATGCCTGTAATTCCGGCTACTTGGAAGCCTGAGACGGAAGGATCACCAGAGCCCAGCAGGTCGAGGCTGCGGTGGCCGGGAGCGGCCACTGCACTCCAGCCTGGCTGACAGAGTGAGACTCCAACTCAAAAAAAAAAAAAAAAAAACTTATCTGCAGGTAATAGAAGTCTGTGTTTTCTAAATATTTCGGGAAAGGCATATATTGCCTTTGTAATCAGAGCAAAAAGTCAAGGTTTTATTTGATGATAAAATCCCTGGAAGTGAGTTACTAGCATGTGTGTTTCATCTTTCATAATTGTTTCAGATTATCATGGCTATTCCCCATGATTCTACTGAAACTTCCTATCTGCTGCCTCCAAACAACGAGGACTGGGAAGGGCAAGGCATTCCTGACTTTGTCTATGGACAGAAGGATCTCGTGGTAGAACGGATTCAGTGGCCAAGGAACGTGCCCGGCACCCTGGATGCTGCACGGTGGTCTCGCTTCGACTCCGCCCTCTGCACTGCCTGGAGGCAGCGGGCAGAGCTGGGGCTGTTTCGCTACCGCCTGGGGGAGCTGCAGACCCAAACCCTCCCTGGCACCGTGGGTTTTGTGGCTCAGCTGAACATGGAGCGCGGTGTGCAGAGGAGGCGCCCCCAGAGCATCCACAGCGTGAAGCAGGCATTTGACCCCGAACAGTTTAACTTCAACAAGATCCGTCCGGGAGAAGTCCTCTTCCGGTTGCGCCGGGAGCCGGACCTCCCCCGTCCTCTTCAGCAAGAGGACATCCTGGTAGTGATCAACGTCAGTCCCCTGGAGTGGGGCCACGTGCTGCTGGTGCCAGAGCCTGCCCGTGGGCTCCCCCAGCGCCTGCTGCCAGGCGCGCTGCAGGCCGGGGTGGAGGCTGTGCTGCTGAGCTTCCACCCAGGCTTCCGTGTGGGCTTCAACAGCCTGGGAGGCTTGGCCTCCGTGAACCACCTGCACCTGCACGGCTACTACCTGGCCCACAGACTGCCCGTGGAGGGGGCGCCCAGCGAGCCCCTGGACCCCGGAGGCCATCTGCATCTGCTCCAGGGCCTGCCCGCTCCTGGCTTCCTCTTTTACACTCAGGAACCAGGGCCTGACCTGGAGGCCTTGATAAGCAGGGTATGTCGGGCCACTGACTATCTGACTGACCATGAGATTGCACATAATTTGTTTGTGACCCGGGGAGCTCCGCCCGGAAAGACAGCAGCTGACTCAGCCCTCACAGGGGTCCGAGTAATTCTGTGGGCTCGGAAGTCCAGCTTTGGGATAAAGGAGGGTGAGGCTTTCAATGTTGCCCTCTGTGAGCTGGCCGGGCACCTCCCTGTCAAAACCTCTCAGGACTTCAGCAGCCTGACAGAGACGGCTGCTGTGGCCCTCATTCAGGACTGTCTCCTGCCCCCAGCACAGGCAGAAGAGGTACAGGCAGCACTGGTGGTCCTGATGTCCCAGGAAGAGCAGTAATCCTTCTGGGTGTATTTATTTCCAGACTGTTGAGTTCCTTCCCAGAGAGCTGTTCATCATGACCACGTGGGCATTTTTCTTCATGACTGTCTTCTCACCCATGGCAGCCTAAGGGGAAAGGGAAGGAAAGAACTGGCAAACGGTCTCTTTAGAAAGGAGCAACCGCTGGGCTCGGTGGCTCAGCCTGTAATCCCGCGCCTTTGGGAGGCTGAGGTGAGTGGATTGCCTGAGCCTGCAGGTTCGAGACCCACCTGGGCAACTTCTGCGAGACCTCATCTCTACAATAAATCAAAAATCAGCTAGGC